AATTAAATACAATAAATATTATTATTTTTTTAATTATTGTATTATTACTATTTGTTTATATTATAGTATTAATTTAAATTAAAATATAATTAATTTAATAAAACAAATCTTTAAAATCAAATGAATTTTCTTATTAAAAATTATATTTATAATTTTATTTTAGTACGAACAATTTTCTGTTTATTTTTTTTTTATTCATTTTTCAAATTATCATTTTATCTTTTTTTTAACATAAATATCATTTCTTTTTTTTTTTTTTATTTCATATGTATATTTTGGCCGCCTATTGATCCTTCAAACAGGAAATTGACGTACAATAACGAAACATACATACATACCATGCGACGTATGGTGTGAATTGTAAAACCGTTATGTAAAAGTCATGACATTCGTATTGATACATCGTGCACTGCCAGGGTTACTGTTTCTTGTCTACTGTCAATAACGAAGCTTTTAGAATCTTTAATCTTAAACATCCTCATTCTTAAAATAGCATACTATATATATTCATGAAGCAACTATATTATTTATCAAATAATAAATTTACAAAATATTATTCTTAGTTGTTAAATATTGTACTAGTTTGATATATAAAAAAAGAATAATTTTGAGACCCCTATTCATTCTTTCTTGATAATTCAACTAATATTAATCTGTACTTACTCAAATATTTCCATAAGATTTTACATGATTTGAAATGACAATGTTCTTCCGTTCTATTGACTAATGATAAACTCTGTCTAACATCACTTTTAACTCGTCACACGTTAATCTTGAATCTTATGCTAATGAATCCTCTGACCAAGTTTATTCGAATATTCACATCTATAACGAGTTATTAACTCTGATCGTATATGGAAAATCAGCTGACGTATTGACGAAGCAAAGTTGGTCATCTGCAACGGTATTGCCACGAAATAAATGTGTCACTGATCGATTCAGTGAAATTCGACGCTTCTTTTATGACGAACCTCAATTACGATACGAACTTTCTTTCTGTCTGATTGTTCTCAATATTTTTATCAATTAAATCAACAAATTGCTACGTTAGCATTATGGAAATTTAATTTCATCGATCTTAAATCGTTATCTTAAGAGAAAACAATTGTCTAATTAAATTAAAATTGTGTAATTATGTCAAATTTTATATATAAAATTATCTTATTTGCAGTGGAAATAAAAACTATGCAACGGTAACGCGGTGTTATTAAAAATATATCAGATGCTTGATGCATTCTTAACATTTAACTGGAATACGCTGTTATTACTTACGAAATTCTTGTATACGAGTGACCATTCTTCGAAAATAACAAGATGATGTTGATAAAAAGTTTTTTCCGGAGGATCATCAAAGATTTCCGGCACAAGGAATTGTTACCTCTTAAAATGATATTCTTCGTTCAAGCATCGAGTATGTATTTAAACGTTATATAATAATTATATTTTTATATATTATCAAAAGTAGAATCTAAAAATTTTTTTGATTGTTTTTTAAATGTCGTAATCCATTAATTATTAAATTATTTTCTTTATCATTAATATTTATATCTAAATAATATTAATGATAATATTTCTTGTTATCGATATACTTAAATCATATTTCATAGTTTTTTCACATACAAAAACATTATTAATTCCAAAATTCCATTGATAATATTATAAATCTTATTTTTGAAATAGATTCACTTCTTATTCTTTCTTCAACTTTGTATTAATTTTCTTTTCAATGTGTACTTTTTACTTGACCAACCATCAAAGACTTAATTTTTCTTTCTTTCTTTTTTTTATTTTTTTTAATAATAATTATGTAGTCTTGAATCATCATTTCCAGCGCTCTATGTACTTTATCCATACTTGACGATACACATGAGGGAGCTCGGTATAAACGTGGAAGAAACTGCCATAATGAGCGCCATAACACCAGTAATTGCAATGGTGATGCCACCCTTGGCTGGAATGGCTGCTGATCGTGTTGGAAATTTCAAAGTAAAATTTTATAATAAATTTCCACTATAAAACTTCTCAATTTAATTTCAATTAAACAAACATCCCCATAATTGTTTTAAAATTAAATCAATTGTCTTCAACTATATCTAACGAAAATGAGATAATGTTGAAATGAATTATTGTTCATCCAAACTGAAACAACAAATCTACTAATGTTCAAAACGTTTTCATTCAGATTTTGCTATCCTTGTTCTCATCGTTTGGCGGAATCGCAGCCCTTTTATTGTTGCTCGTACCGATCGGCAGGATAACCGTGGAATTTCCGAACAAGGTCGTTATGGACCTTGGATGTACGGGGAATAATGGGTTGCTTTACACCATGAGCCAGAATCATCCTTGCGAGACGAGCTTGCAACCCAAGATCTCCACCACGATAGAGAGTTGCGGGTAGGTAAGGGCGCGTGTTCGAACGATTTTATTAAAATTAAAAGTTTAAAATTAAGAGTTATTTATTTATTGATTCTAATGGATTGAACGATTTTTTACTTTTATTTGAAAAAATTTTTATTTTGATGGATGTTAGCCTTCAGATTAAAAACATTACTTGAAAAATTTATTTTCAAGTATCATTATCATTTATTTGATTTGAAATGTTATTTTAATTATTGAGAAAAGATGTGAAATCAATTTCCAGTGAAATCAAATGGAAATTAAATTCGAGTAAAATTTGCAACTGCTATAAAATTGGTTTTATATACCAATAACCAATTACTTATTAATAGTGTTACTAATAATAAGTGATTAGCATTATTGTTGAAAATCTATTGTAAAGGCATTAAAAAATAGTTAAAGAATTAACTAATTATTACTTTCTTTTATGAGATGCTTTATAATTTCTATTATTGTAATTGTCGAATATTAAACTAACATAAAAATGAATTAGTATTGAAAATATAATTCTTCTATATAATAAATATAATTTTCTATAATATAATTCTTCCTTGTAAAGCTAATAATATTTGACATAATATTTAACAATTAGTTTAAGTTTATTGATTAATTATTGATAATTAAAATTTTTTTATACAAGATAGTTCGTAATGATACAGGTTAATTAATCGAAAAAAAAAAAAAATAAAATTTTGTTATCTAATGCTTCGTTTTAGAATAAAACAAGTTTAAAAAATTTTAAATGTGACTAAAATTAATTTATTTTCCATTAAATTAATTACAATTAGATAAGTAAGTAGAAAATTACTCTACATATAGAAATAAGAAATAAATTTTTGTTTCATTGTTTTAAAATTATAAGAAAATTGAATTTGAAAATGTATCCATTATACATTTCTTTGTACATGTTTGATTTATGAATATGTAACTATAGATATTGTACATGTTCAATCTCAATTTTCTCAAAAATAAGGATTCCAAAGAGTCTTCTTTCTTCAACCTTCTTTTGCTTATTTTACACACATAGAATAACTTATATAACTTATATTCATTCGTATCTAATCATATATATAGTTAATGTTAGTTGTAGTTAAACATTTTTCAGACTGGTTTTAAATTTATCTATTTTTCAAATTTGTTTCAAAAACGAAGCATCAGATGAAAAATTTTTATTCTTTTCTTTTTTTCGACTTATTTTTTCTAATAAAATTTTTTCGTTCAATTACGAACTACCTTGCACACAGAATGAAAATAGACGCTTAATTAAAAATAATCTATCTTTTTATAGTTACATGTGTCGTCTAGACGTTCGTAATGACACCGAAGTGCAGTCAATTTTATCATCAAAGCAATATATGATCAAACGATACAACTTGGAAACAACTAATTCCTCGTTCAAATTTTCAATTGCTCAAAACGAAATGCCACAGGTATCATTCTAATAAAAAATAATATTGAATTTATGAAAATACTAAATTTATTTCGTCGATGTGATTGATGATTGAATTTAAAACTTTTCATTTTAATTATAAATTCATTTTAATTATAATTAAAAACAAAAGTTAATTTTACTCTCTCCTTAGAAAAATTTCAATATAAATTAATAAAGATAATTTTGATCGATGAAGAAGAATAAATTAAAACTAGTCAATTTTTACAGGAAATAGAAGAAGATTTAAGAGAACACCGGAAGTTGAGGAACAACGAGTACTTCAAGACATCGATTCGACAATTGTCTGCCAACGAGTATTTCTTTCCATCCAATCAGATGTACGAATTCTCGTGCAGTGTGTCTGGTTTTATAGAAGATTTTGAGATATCAACTCTAAATCCTGCCATGTCGAACAGGATCTATGAGAACCGTACTCTTTGCACTTTCAACCCAATTATATCTCAAAAGGTAAAGTGAATACATCAATATCATAAATATTTAATCGAGAAAAATGAAAGATGGAGTAATTAAAGAGAAATTGAAATAGGAAACAAAACAGTTACAGAATAATTATCAATTTAAATGTTTAAGTTCTTTTTATGCCTATAACTTTTTATCTCTATCTACGATAATTTTATTATTTCTTATATTAAGGACAATACCAATCAGACGACAAATTATCACTCGTACAAGTCAAAATTAAAAATCTTAAAAAGCACGGAAGAGGATCGAGAGAAGAAACGACAAAGATATCTATCGGAAGAAATAGCGTGGACGAACAAAGAATTTCAGAAGATCACTTGCGGAAATCCCGATATGGAGACCGACCGAATAACTCTGACCCTACCACTTTTTAATTACTCTTTAAGCTCAGAACCTTATAAAATTCTGAACACGGAAGACTGCAGTAAAAGGTGCATCGTTACTGCACCTCGTAGCGATATGTGCTCGAATACAAAAATGGTGATCGAGTATAATGTTGGGATGACTTTCTGGTTATATTTCGCCATTAGAGTGTTCATCGGTGAGTATTGCTTAAATATATAAGAAATGATTAACAAGATAAATCAGAAACATTAATATAATGTTACAATTATATATCTTCATTTTAATAAAACAGAATTTATACTTTCCTTAACCTATGATTTTTACTTACAGGTGTTATTGGTGGAACAACGTTCGCCATGTTCGAGGGTGCAGTAATCGCCATATTGCGCGAGCAAAAGGCTGATTATGGGCTTCAAAGGATTTACGGCAGCATCGGTGGTATGATATCATCGCCCCTCTCTGGACTTCTTATTGATTATGCGAGCACTGGCAAAGGTTACACTGATTTCAGGTAAAGATTAATTTTTTATCTTGAATTATAATTATATATTTATATTATATATTTATATTTATATTATAATTATATATTTTATAATAGAAACTTTCAAGATAAAATATAATTTTGTTTTCCTTTGCATTTAGAGAAATTCTTATTCGATTTATTGCGCATTTTCCAGGCCAGCATTTTATCTATACGCGGCTCTAAAGCTTTTATAATAGAAACTTTCGAGATAAAATATAATTCTGTTTTCCTTTGCACTTAGAGAAATTTTTATTCGACTTATTGCGCATTTTCCAGGCCAGCATTTTATCTATACGCGGCTCTAAAGCTGATCTCAGGGGTGCTGATGCTCGCCATTAATTTGGAATTCAAATCACCCGCCACAAATGTCGTTCGCGATGTTTTCACCGTGTTAAGGAACATAGAGGCTGCGGCGCTCTTCATCGCCTGTTTCATCCTCGGTAAAAATCTCTGCTTTCCTTTTTATGATAATTTCACTTAAGGTTAATAAACGAGTTATATTATTGCATTCCTGAATTCTACGAAACCTTGTAACAACGTTTGAAAAAGTGTACGCTCGAATGAATTGCGCAATCCTTGTCATTACTCGTTTCCGCCAATCTTTGACATACTGGAATAACGAAATTGCACCGACATTGACATTCCTCGTCGATAAAACAAAATTATTATATAGTAGTAGTACGCGAATACTCGAATACAAACACGAAAATGATATTTCTCACAATCCATAAAATTGAATCCATAAAATTTGAAAAGATCAAATTTAAGATTTCAAAAAAAAGATTTTCAAATCAATTCAGAGAAAATTTTTCCAATTAAAATTAGAAAAAAGTTAAATCGTTGAAACTTCGAATGTAATAACTTCCGATCAAGGATCGATTACGATTATTAGAAGCGTAGAATCTCCTTTAAATTGCATTTTTATTTATTCTAATACGACTTCCAGTTCCCGAGATATCGTCGTGTAAAGGAAAAAGTAATTTTTAATCTTTTACTATCTTCATTCTTATCTCTTATTCGGGCCTCTTATATTGTCTTACTGACCTATCTCAAAGTTCAGACAATAGAAACAATTCCTAGGAAAACATAGCACGTATTTCCAAGAAGAAACATAGTTAATGGTTTATTCATAATATTTGCCTTAAACATTCCAAATATTTTGAGTTTTTATATCTTGAGAATCGATTGAGATATTGGGATAAAATAAAAAGTGGCTTCAATGCTAAGGTTTTCTTTATTTTCCGAACAAGGCAAAATTTGATGAGAAAATATTTCCTTTCATATTTTTTTTTATATGAAAACTTGGTGAATGCATGATCTGAATGCAATGGTCTGTTATTGCCATATAAAGTGCAAATTAATTTAATATATATGTTTTACATAATACAATATATTTTCTCTATATTAATTGAACATTTAAAAACATTCTTCATAAAATTCCTAATGAGATCTGTCTAATGACGATGTTAAAATATAAGAAAAATTTTTTCTTGCACGCTCGATTGAAAAATGAAATAAGAATTACGATATATTTGATAACTTTTCTTCCACCGTGATAAATATTTATAAATTTTTCTAAGAAATCACTTAAAAAAAAAAATCTCAATGAGCTTGACGCGAGAACCGACGATTTCCACCGAGATAAATATTTTTTTTCTCCCCCTCCACAGGAACCGCTTGGGGATACATCGAATCGTTCCTCTTTTGGTTGATACAAGATTTAGGAGGATCAAGATCACTCATGGGTATCACCATAACCGTAGGCGGTATTGCCGGTATACCATTACTGGTACTATCTGGCCCAATCATATCCAAGATCGGCCATGCCAATGTACTTTTTATAGGCTTCGTTTTTTACGCCATAAGACTTTGCGGTAAGCAATCATATTTAATTCTTACGAGTTCTCCTCGATGAAACGTACGACTCCCTTTTGCGACGAATTTAAAAAATAACTGGTTATTAGCGACTTTATTTACACTTATTTTACATTAACGAATTAAGATTCGACGTGAAGATAACTTTTTGTTGTATCCGAATAAAAGGATGAGGAATTCGATTTTAGTGTGTTTAATTGAAGTGCTCGTTTAATTATGCATTCCCTATTTAGGGTTCAAGAAGATATTATTCTCTGGCAAAATGTTTTCCTTGTTAAAAGTAACTTTTTTGTTTATTAAAGATACACAAATAATTTTTTTAACACTAAATTCACATCCAACTTGTATCTTTAAATGATTTGTCTGATATCATTTTACAGGTTACTCCTTGATATACAATCCTTGGCACACTCTTTTCTTCGAAGCGTTAGAATCCGTCACTTTATCCCTTAGTTTCACCGCTGCTGTTACTTACGCGGCAAAATTATCCACTACTACCACCGATAGCTCGATACAAGGATTATTAGGTGGTGTTTATTACGGAGTTGGTGAGCAATTTTCTCTTTGTTTTTTTTCTTTTTTTCAAAAGAAAAAACATTGCAATTTGTTTTTAATTTACGATGATAGTACCTGAAAAAACAAATATTTATTAATAAGATGTTCGATATTCAAAATCCTGTAGAAATATAAAAATATAAATTTCTTAAGGCACGTAATGATAATACACAAAATAGTAGATCCATCCTTATACCTCTTCGAAATAATCTTCGATCAAACTTATTATTATACAACTTTATTATTATTCAACTTTATATACAATTTATACAATAAAGTATAAGTACCATAATACCGTATATATCGTTCATGTTCACTTTGCACATTTTACACGCGTGAACTACACGCTCCTCTAATAACAATCATCATTTAATACTCGCAGGCAAGGGTTCAGGAAGCTTGATCGGTGGATACCTAATGAAAGCCTTCGGCACTCGACCGACGTATCGAATCTTCGCAGTGGTTACTCTGATCACGGGTATAATGTACTACATCTTCAACGTGGCTTATCTGAAGAAACGGCCGCAGGTGGAGGGGAACGACATAGTGAAAAAGAAACCGAAGAACGTGGAGAATCAAAATGGTCTCGAGAGTGGAATCATAGAGATCGATTTGGAAGAGAAGAAACGTTCTAGGGACGAGAACGAGAAGAACGAATCGAACAATTTAACCGGAATCGACAATCAAGCGTTCATCAGGGAACAAGATGGCGTCAAGTATTCGAGGAAGAGCCAACGAACGAATAATATAGAGGCGATTAATAACGCGAAGAATCTCGATAAAATTGAGAAAATGCCAGCTGACGAGAGTAAGAAGAAATTCGGCGCGAAAAGGTTGAAGAAAATGCAAACTGACGAGCGCGATCGAGCGAAAGAATGCTCGAAACAAAATGGCAGCGCGAATCCGAGCTTGGAGAGCGATCGATTTAGGTGTAACGTAACCGTGGAGAAACAACCGGAAGACAAGAAGTGAAGAAAATCCCATTAAATGATCTCGATACTCTTTTTCTTTTCTTCGTTCCTTGTCACGAAACGATTTTTATACCGTTGAAGGTATAAAATACAGGTATACGAAACGAGATGGTAAGAAATGCGGATGGAAGTATAGAGGAGTTTGGTGTACATGTATATATTTTACAATATGTAAAGTTTGTACACGTGATTAGAGGAGATTGTTGAATCGAAGAGATATAGCGTTGTTGGTGATTATTCGAATGTATAGAATTCCTAGTCATTTGAAAAGAAATTTTTTCATTTCGTTTTTTATCAAGTTTTTATATTATTGTTTATATACAAACATAATTAACGACGATTATGTGGAAAATATATTAATTGTAAAAATTTAATTATTAGGGATGATGATGATAAGAAATGAATTTATTAAAAAGTAAATTTTTTTCTTATCATAAAATATTCTAAGAAAGAATCTTTTAAGAAAGAAAATATTATTTCTAATATTTATTTAAAAGTATTCTTATTTAATATTTTCTTTCTTTATATTTTCATTCTTTCTTTATATGGATTGTTTTAATATAAGCATATTTGAATTAACTTTTCAATTAATAATTATATATTTGAATTTATAATCGAATTCTATTATTGTTCGAATAATTACAAATAATATTACAGTATGATGATGATGATGGAATGATCGTGAAGATGTTAAATTTTGTTTATTCATAATTTGATCATGCTCGAATATTATTCGAGATTATTTCGCAACAAATAGCATCGTGCATGTACTTCACGCAATATCGAATTAATTTTATTATACTTTTTTAAATATTCGAGAAATCATGCAAACATATGTAACTGTGTAACATTTTATGTGTATTGAACTTAGGATAATGTAAAATCTCTATTTTATAGTAAAGGATGTTATTTTTTTTTAAAGTAACATTGAAGTTAATATATTACGTTTAAAAATCATCCATAAATAAGATAGTATTTTAGAACTTTTATAGATACAGTTAAGTTTTAAGGATGTAACGAATATAAATCTAAATCGTTAAATCGTTACGTAGAAAATTCCAAAATTCGTGTGATTAATATTGTTAGAGATTATCGATTAAAATGTGTTTTCTATGCTTCTATTTTAAAAAAAAATAATTTCACGTAGATATTTTTTATCACTCATAATATTGGAATTTTACAAATTAAACCTAAAAAAAATTATAAAAGAATCCTATATAAAAGTAGAACATTGAAAACACATTTGATTTACAAAACGTGATTGCACAGTATTATGCAATACCTATGTTATTATTTTTACAAAAAATATATTTTTATTATTAGATATTAATACTAAAAATGTGATATTAATAATTTCCTTAAAGAATATTGATAATTATAATTAATAATAATATTATTAATTATAATTAATAATAGTTTAAATGAAATTAATAGAAAAATTATATTTAATCGAGTTGATAAATATTATTTAAAAAAAAAGTAGGTAATAATACTAAAATACTCATAAATATGAAATA